TCAGCGCTGCACATTTGTGAGTAATGTGCAGTCGGCTGAATCAACACAAGGGAGTACATTTTCTCATTTGCAGGTTGTAATAAGTATAAGAATGCACCTGTGTGCATGTCTGTATGTATGTGTGAAGCCCCCCAGGCTGAGGCTGAAATATGAATGCCGTGTCCAGGAGCACGGGCCCCCCTGAGGAAGTAAGCTAGGAGGGAGTTTGCTGCTCGTGGCGGCTGCACACAGCACCACCACAGCATTCTGGGAACTGGGATGTAGCCCGCTGTCAGACTTATCCCTGCCATGTGGTTTTCTCAAAAAAAAAACTGAAGAAACGTGGCATCGGGAAAGCTGGGAGCTCGCAGAGATATTGAGAAGATGTTTCTGTGAAAACTAAACTCGGGATTTTTCGCTGAGAGCAGACGCGAAACACATGAAATTGAACCAGCAGGCTTTATTTTCACACATCTGGACACTGCTCGGCCCGTTTTGCCATCGGCCCAATTTGTTTTCGCTCAGCGTGACAGAAAAGCTAGTGAAGAAACCCCAGTCGCAGCTACATTTTCATGAATAAGTGGCATAAATTACTTATTTGGAAGGATTCACCCAAGTGAACAAATACAAACAAAGAGCAGAGTTGCCTCGCTGCAGGAGAACATTAAAGCTGAAAGACATTTTTAGAACAAGAGCATCTTTTGTTAAAAAGGTAGAAATGTCCCCGACCATAGCTCGTTATTCTAAAATGGATTCACCAAGTTCTACTTAATTATGAATTCTCACCGCAGGCCAGGCATTTGTACCTGGCACTATTCTCATTAATGAGAGAGCTGATCTAATTGAGTGTGTGCAACGGACTAGGTTGTGAGTGGCCATCTGAACTATGCATGCACGCACGCAAACACACACACACACACACACACACACATTTGCTAACACGTCCCAGCTTTGTGTGGACCCGGGGCCGTGGCCCCTAGGGAGCGTCCTTTGGTATGAGCTTTGCACTATGCTAATGAGGAGCCGCTACCGCACAATTAACTCTTTGTGTTGCAGAGGAAGCACACGGCTGCAGAGTGGAAGCTCCACTCGGGCCGTGGTTTCTGCTCAACATTCATAGAAATTGCATATTGGTAGATTTATATTATGGATGGATGTGGCATAACATCTGCGATACAGTATTAGGGATATTCTGAGTCGATTAATTTCCTAATCGGTTCAACGGAAATTTAGTCTAAATATGAGAGAGCAGCCAGAAGTTAGCACAGTTCATTCAAAATAGGCAGCGGGTAAACTATTTAATTTGGTTTGCCGAGTGTGGCTAACATGCTAACTGGGCATGTTAACATCTGGGTAGTAGAGCCGGGTGAGCTGGCCCTTTAACCCCTGAGCTACATGTCCAGCTAATCTATGGTTAGCTGAACATTTGATTACGCTAGCACAGTCACATCTCAGCTGTACAGTGTACACACAACTGTCGTTTGTCATTTTTTGTAAGGTATGCTACTATATAGTCTCCACCTAGTTGCTTTCTTTATGTGATTTCTATTTGGTTCTGGGAAGCTACGAAAGTCGGGTTTTATCTGAGCTCGCTAAAAAGCTACTGGCAACGGCTGCAAATATACAGCCTGTTAAAAGTGGGGACACTTACTTATTTTCAGCAATATAGCTATGATTGATGTATTAGTGCCTTTCAAAGTTTTTTCGTGACTTTTAAAATGAACCCTGAATTAATTGAACAGAAAATAATTGACACATTATTCATTAACGGAAAAGGAAAATCATTAGTTGCTGCTCTAGGCCATTTTGTCAGCACTTCTCCCCAGAGTTTTTTTTTTTTTCCCCTCTCCTCCTGTGTGTGCTGATTTTACAGTCAGATATCACTGATGAGCTCCTATGGACTTGCTAATGAGAGAGACTACTGTAGATACTCATCAGTGATCAATGTTTCCTTTGGCCTCGCAGCCTCCTGTTGGTAAATGATTATCTGTGTACGCTTGATACCGAGGTATGCTTGCTCACGTTTCGCACACAACCCCCCACTCTCTCGCTGTAAAGCTATGCGTCTCTTACCTCTGATACCCTGCCTCTCTTTTTCCTCTGCCCCCTCCCCCCCTTATGCTCTTTTATCTCCCCATCGAAGATAAAGGCAAAGCGCACATCGCCAGGGAACAATTAGTCTCGGCCATCTCAAATCTCTTCCGCACATCTCAATCTCTCTCATTTTTGCAGCCTATTTTCCTCCGCGCCCGACGTAGCATTAACCCACACTGCTTTGGGAGATGCCCAAGCACTTAAACTCTAAAGGCACCGCAGAGTCTGTTTTACATTTTATCTCTACTTTGCATCTGTTAAGCCTCCGTCTGCCATGCTTCTCCCTCATATATCATTTTCACAACTTTTTCCCTTACATCACATAACTTCAGCGTTCCCCCCCCCCACTCCGCTTCATTGTGCATTCTTTCTTTGCACAGATCGAGACTTCACTTCACAGTGTGACTTTCTGATTAGCCGTGTCTGTGTTTTGGCTCGGCTTTTTATGCTTCTGCTGTGTTGGAGGCTTTCTTTTTTGTTTGACTGGCTTAAAGGGATCAGATTTTAACAGAACACAACACAGCCAGGGTGGCCGGGGGCATCATTTCCAACTTGGAAATGCTAGGTAGTGATGCGAGCTGAATCTGACAGATCAATACTGTGTGGTGCTTTATTGAGTCTCCTCTGTCTTCTGTTTGTTATAAATATTTATTCGCGGCCTACGGGCTCGTGCCGCTTTCAGGTTCTCCAAAGTCAGAAGTCAGACCAAAGTACTGCTTGTGAATTTGCATCAAGAAAAAGTGCCGGAATGTATGAATATTCAGTGTTGACATATTGAGTTTTGCCAAGCACTTTTAAACCACACAACTACTGCTCAAATTTGTGTTAGTCCTCTTGATGTTCTCCGTTTTGTACATTTGTGTGCACTCCTACATAACTGGGATTCTGTTTTAAAAACGGAACCCATATATCAACATATCAGAATGACATTTCTTTATAAAAGTTCCTTGACGTGACTTAAAATAACTTTTCATTCTGAACTGCATCATGGAAGAAGGTTATTAACCATCTGCACCTTTCATTACTTTCATCATTATGAGCCCTGCCATCCTTAAAGTCATTATATAACAGCCCAGCTATAAATCATATAGTGCTGTTGAACTGTGGTGTAACACTGTGAGGTATCTCTCATATTCTGTCCACCTTGTTTTCAACAATGGGGTTAGACATGGGCTGTAACACTACTAGAGTGTACCAAAATCAGTCCCCTTTAGGTGATATCAAAAGATAAATTTGTTAATTTGATACCCATCATGTAAATGGGACACATTCAGTTGGCTAAGGTGCAGAAATTAGCAGTTTGGCCAACACTGTTGCCGTAGTGGAGTACTGGAGAACAGTGGAGATGATTGACTGCAGTAATTGAAATACAGTAAATAGTATTCTTGCCTAGCTCTAGGTACAAAGAAATTCCAATGCAGGTTATGTGTGAGTGGAACAGTTTTAATACGACTTGATACTGGTTTAATGCGGCCGATATATCAAAGATTTTGAACATCAATACCCATTGTGAACAGGACATCAGGCAACATGTGGCATGTTGAATAGCACAAAGGATTCTATCTGTGTACACTGCTCTAGTAGACTAAACAATACCTTACAATGATCTTCTCATTAGCAGGGATGTATACTTACACACGCTTCAGAAGTCAATCTGAAACTGCGATTGAAAGCTTGTAAATCATCTCCGTTCTCTCACTCCATTTTACTCTCATCTCCCATTTTCCTCCTCATTCCTCCTCTTATCAGTCTTCCTCCAGTGGATTTGTTCCAGCCGAAATTGAAAAACAAAATATCAGCACTATAGATCATTTTGACAGTTTAATTTCAATGCCTGATTATCAGTCAATTTGATAATTATATTATCCAACCATCCAATTAATGTGTTCTATATTTACAATGATCATCGAGTAAGCTCTCCGTCTTTGCATCATTTATCAAGGGTGAGATATTGGCACCACAAGGGACCTTGACAGCTCGTGTGTGAAGATTCTTGATTGAGGTATAAAAGATCGGTGTGTGTGCGGTACTGTATGTGCGGTACTGTATGTGCGTCAGCCTGTGGAGACATCCTCGCTGGTCCTCCTTAAATCCTTTCCTTCACACTCGATGGAGCGTGCACGGGAAACACAGAGAGAACGAAAGATGAAGCGAAACAGAGTGGAGGCGAACCAATGGTGAAGGATTTCATGCCTTCCTCCTCCTGGGCTTCACTCCTCTGCTGTCTGCTCTATCTCGCTCGGAGGAAAAGTGGTTTGCTGTGCCAATGTGTCACTGACACACAAATACACAGAGCAAGGGGATAAGAGAGCGATCCTTTATGACATTGATGCCTCTGCTTCCTCTTCCCCGACGCTCCCAGAGCAAGTGAAGTTCACCCAACACAAGCAACAGTGCCTCGCAGCAGATTAAACGGCTCTGTGCAGGACACGTTCATAGAGGGTTTTTCCATCTGGAGTGTGGCAGCTTGGCGTTTACAAGCCGGTGATAATCAAATACAGCACAGTTAGCTTTGTCTTAGGTGAGATCCGAGCATCTGACCACCTACAATCTGTTAGACTCACAAAGATGTAAGCATCAGCTGCCGTTGCGTGCCTGTTCAAATGTTTTTCAGCAATTTGACAACTCCATGTTTCCCCTCTCGTGTAAGCCTACCTAATCATGATGAAAGATAAAGTCACATTAAATACATTTGCTCCTCTCTCTTTTATCCCGACAGCTAACTCTTTGTTCTTGTCATACTCGAGTCTGTCTTTTCATGTGCGAATTTGTGCCTCCGGGTTCATGGATTTGTGGGGGATTTAAGAGTGGGTGTTCTTTATTTCGATGCTTTTGAGGTATTTCTTTTTGTCCGCTCTCTGAAGCAGCAAGGTGTCTCAGTGAGAGAGAAATAAAACAAACGCTGTTCTTTTGTTCTTTACAGATGATGTGCCTCCCTACTTCAAAACAGAGCCGGTGCGTAGCCAGCTCCACCTGGAACGCAACAGGCTGGTGCTGACCTGTATGGCTGAGGGAAGCTGGCCACTGGAGTTTAAATGGATCCACAACACCACAGAACTGACCCGCTTCTCACTGGAGTACAGGTTAGCAGAACGGTGTAACCTTGATACACAAAGAGTTGAGAGTCAAAAAAGGACGGAGATTGGACTGATTGAAATGTGGTGGCCTAATAATGACTCATAAATCTTAATTGAGGCAAAAAGCAGCTTCATTAACACCACTGCACTGTTATTAAGAGCAAAACATGCCTAGCAGGTTTTGTCAAAATTCTGCTACTAGCAATATCTTCGCTTTTGACTAAACTAGCTAACATATTAGCAAATATTTCATAGCATTTAGAAGTTACTGTGTTCTAGTATTATGACCAAAAAGTTCAGAAGAAAATTATTACTCTAACAAGTAAGTTAACTCTAACTTAAGTAACTCTAACCCTTTAAGAAAAAGCTAAAGACCCAGCTCTTTCATGAATACCTACTAACTTAATGATGATGGTTTCAATATATTGATGATGATGATGGTTGTGACGATTGTTTTTGTTTGATAACGATGACTTATAAGATGGTTTCTATACTGATTAGAGCTCTCAAGAACTGCCTCAACGTTGTGCTTTGCCTCTGGTCACTTCCTGTCAGCACCTGTCGTTTGCTCTTACTGACATTGTTCCCTTTTTTCTAGATCCTTGCTTGTGTCGTACTTACTCTCTGATATATGTCGCTTTGGATAAAAGCATCTGCTGAGTGAATTGTAGAATTGTAGAAGTAAGTCTTTAATGTGCATGTAGCAAGGTGTAAAATAATTGTTATTTGACTTGGAGTCCAAAAACTTGGAGTTAGCCTCAGCTAGCTTAGAATTCTTCAGTTTTCCCTACAGTAGCCTAGCTGTTTCCTATAGTTGATAAGATAATTTGTACTTTGTCACATTATAAACCCTTTACCACAGACGTTAGACATTAGCTAAATCGTAATTTTTGGGAATAAAAGTCAGCTTGAATAGTTTCACTGTAAGCTAAACATTAGCCTAGCTTACTGAGCAAAGTAGAAGTACGCTAACTGCTTTCTCAGTGTCTGTTTTTTTTTTCAAAATGTGGTTAGCTATCATTAAATAACTTAGAAATGTAAAATAAAGGTAGCATTTACTGTTAAGGATCAAATAATAAAAGCATGTCTTTGTATTTCTCACCTTATTTCATCGCCAAGTGTCACTATAGAGCAGTATCTTATCGTTTTTAATATTGCAGGTGATAATTATCTGCAATATTATATAGTAGCAAACTAAACAAAGAAGAGGCTTTTTGCTGTTTTGCTTTTCCTTATTTTTCTGCCTTTTTTCTTTTCCCTTGTGGCTCTGTGACCATCACTCTCTCTACAGTCTTCACACATGTGAACAGTGTGAGCGAGGGTTAGGGCGGGGAGATAAACCATCTTTAATGATAACTGGAAGATCTACAATGGGGCAACATAGCTCTTATCTCAGAGAGTGGTGTGACTGCAACGAGTGTTTCTATGCGAGTGTGCGCATGTGTGCAGACTGTAGTGTTAATGAGGTGCCAAAGGATTGGGAAATACAAGCTTGTTGACACACACTCTGCTGATCTTAGCTGAACTGTTGTGCTCATATGTGAGAGTCGACCGAGGGTGAACGTACAAGCAGCGTCCGCCTTGTTGGTAAGAACTGGGCTTTTTTCTCCTGACAATCACTGGAGAGAGATAAGACCTGAGTGAGAACGGGAGGGAGGGCTGGGAAGGGCACAAGTGACACACAGATGCTTTAACAATTGATCAGAATGGACTGTAGCGAAGAATAACACTGTCTGTAGGAGCCTCAGGGCCTCTTTAACTGTGTTATTGGGCAAGTGATTGAGCGATAGAACGGGTGATTAAACAACTAGTCAGGCGCAAAGCTTCTCAGGCTTGAGTCAGCATGTCTAAAGGAGCCTTAAAGAACCAGATGAAATGGATATATATTTGAATATTTATTTGAAGATATGGGGGTGGTTTGATTTGTTTAGCACCTTGATGAGGGTGGATTTATCTACTATTAGAGTGTCAGGAAATACATGCTGACAACATGGCCTGACACAAACAGGCATGCAGAACAGTGTGGGAATAACACAACATATTTTTACAGGCAGTATTGGCCATGTACCAAAATGACTTTGTTAAGTTGGGGAAACAGATTAGTCTTTTATTTGTTTGACTAATACCGGTACATCAATCTCAGTTGGTAGGGTCGTCGTCTCTCAATCGGAAGGTGAAGGGTTCGATCCGCAGCTCTTGCAGCAACATGTCCGATGTGCAACCCCAAATTGCTCCCGCTGCTTCGTCTGTGGCGTATGAATGGGATTATTTACTTCTGATCTCAATATATAGCAGCCTCTGCCATCAGTGTGTGAATGTGTAGGTGTGACATGCGGTGTAAAAGCACTTTGAGTAGTCAGAAGACTAGAAAAGCGCTATGCAAGCTCAAGTCCATTTACCATTTACCATTTAACACTGAAATATTGTGTGTGATTTTACATTGCGTTACAGCCCTGTAAACCAAACGGCTTTTATGCCATTATTTGACAGTCCATTTACCGTTTACTTCCCCCCCAAGTGGACTTCATACTATGTCAACCACAATGGCACATACCAACAATAAGCTAGATATCAGCATTCAGATATGATGGTAGATAGCTTCCTAAAGCTTTACAAAGTGCAGTGTTCCGCACACTGTACCGTACGTATCATAATGTATGGTATTCTATCTGTATTTCTGCAGCGTTTTGTACCTTTGTGTTTTGTGGGTTGTGTTCAAGGGGGCATGCAGTCCTCCTCTTTTTCCTCTGCCAGGAGAGTATTTGAGCAGAGCAGACCCCCCATATTAACAAGGTTATGCTAGAGGTCCCCAGTGCTGAGTGCTGCTTTAAATATTGACACCATGCGACTTGACCTTGTGTCCTTTGGCAACTGATCGATACTGCAAGGTGTGTGTGTGTGTGTGTGTGTCTGTAGGCATTACTCTTCAACATGTAGGTGTGTATGTGAGAGAGAGCGACAGACAGAGAGAGAGAGAGGGAGAGAGAGAGTGAATGCTGGGAGAAAGAGCAGCAGAGTTTAGTGATCTGCTGTGGGGAGTGTCACACTTGGGAGAGAATGGGTTTAGCATTGACTGCTGTCACATAACACAAACATCAATTGCGTACACTGTGCTACTCGAGTGCCAACCAGCCGTACACGCATCTTTTTAATTTTTTTTTTGCAATCACAGTTGGCCGGCATTCAGCTGCCTTTGTTTGCAAATAATCATTTAAAAGATTTATCTCCAAATTAAAATTCAACTTAATTAAGATTGAAGATTATATCCAATACAATTAAGGAGTTTTGAACCCATAAGCCAGCAAATTATCCTGCACACAATGCTCGAGTAGATCTATAAATACACAGCGAAGCACCACAGCTTCCAATCACACGACCAAAAAAAAACCTCAGGGGCGTTTACCTTGCACGCCCCCCCCCCCCCCCCCCAATCTTTATGCCGCCAATTAACCCAAGAACTTAATTAAGACAGTTATTTATTAATCAAACCTCAGGAGGCGTTTTTTGTTTGTCATGTGTGTCTTGTCTTGAATGTGTTGGTGGAGTGGAGTCTGTGTGTCCTGTGGGGAATTGTAACGTTTTTCCTCCGATTTTTCATATTGTAATGAGACAGACAGCAAAGGGAAAGGACTTAGCGTGGGGGGGGGGGGGGGGGGGGAGTGGAAACACAACAAAGTAGAAATAATCTAATCAACAGGCAAGGAAATGAAAAAACACGATGAAGAAGACATGGCAGACTCAGCAGCACAATCGCATGCTCTGTTGGATGTGAGAGTTCTTTGATTTTTTTGGAAAAAAAGTATTTTTGCACACAATACAATCGCAACAAAAGCCTTGCTTTCACCGTTTCTAGTGTTAACAAATCAGAAAAAGACGTAAAAAAGAAATGAAAATAAGATTACGATTTGAAAGTTTCAAGTTGCATATTGTGTCTAAAAGAAGGTTTTAAGAGGGAAAAAAACATGTTAAGATGATGATAAATGTGAAGTTAAAGCCATTCCTTTTACATCCGAACTCCATTTTCGAAACTAATTCTTCCATCCGTCCTTTTTTTTCTGCATCCTGTCTTCCTCCATTTAATCCACTCACACCTTAACTGTAACGGAGCAGCCAAAGTTTTTTTTTCCCTTCAGATATAATTTCATGGTGTCTCTGAACAAATTAACACAAGTTCAATACAATATTATTCCATGTCTGGGGGAATAGACGACAAGCTTGGCTTGTTAACTAGATGGAGATGAAGGAAAAGCAGGGGGCAAGAGAAGCAGCAGTCGAGTCTGTGTTGCTGTGTGTGTGTGTGTGTCTGTGTTTTGTGCGTGTGTTTTGCGTGTGCGTGCATCTGCGTGTGCTTATGTCTGTGTGTGTGTGTGTGTGTGTGTGTGTGTGTGTGTGTGTCATCCAACAAATTTTTGGATGATTTGATACACATGATTGAGTTTTAAACTTTAATTAATGAATAAAAGTGAGTTACAATCTTGAAGTTCCCATGATACAGCTGGCAGTGTGTGTGTGTGGGGTGTGTGTGTGTGTGTGTGCATGCCTGAGTGTGTGTATGTGGAGCCTTCTCTGTTCGTTTACACATAGTCCTATTCAAACGTCTTAACTCTATTGGCGTTTTCGGACCGCAGGAACTTTTTCATAGTTCTAGGAACTGTTGGAACCCTCCCTCTTTTTGTATTGATTCTGCACCGCAGGAATAATGAGTTATTTTAGTTCCTAGAACCACGATTAGAGGACACTTTTTAGCTCCTGCTTCAGAGTAGGTACTCTCCCAGCACCATGGGGGTGCGAATGCAGACAGAAAAAAAGTCCCCATGTTGTGTAGTTCTCAGGAAATCCCTTGCTGAAAAATACTAGCAACCTTTGCAAAAAAAAGCCAGAATAGTTGGTTTAATAAGTCCAGCCCCTGACATTGGCATATAGCCAATCACAGTTTAGGATTTTTAGAGTGGCCAATCAAATTTCTAGGGGGTCCCATGCCATCCCTCCCTGCTTGTTAGCCAGTA